ACAGAATGCATATTTATCACATTTTCTAGAGGGACATCAATCAGCGTTGCACTCGCGTCTCACAGAGAGCGGCATGTTTAGAAAGCCATGTAAAATTAATGCAAGTTCAACTTTTAAAAAACATGTCTAAAGACGTTATGGCGGTTTTTCCCCATCCCACTGTATCTCATGTTTTTAAATGAAGAAAGTAGCCTACTCTTTGTGATTGGTTTTCGGTCCTTTGTATTAAACTATACATACATGCATGGTGCTGTTTTTTTTTCTAATTGTTTAAGCAACTTTATTAATTATATATGGTTTATAAACATTATTTGAAACATTATGCACTTTTTTTCAAAGATAGTCGTGTTATTGTATTACGCTTTGAAGAAACGTGCATAATATTTTGCTCGATGCGCCCTCTTGTGGCCTCAGGAGAGAAGCCAAAATCTTCGAATTTTGATATTTAAGTAGAAAATTCGAATTTAGTTTTTCAGTCATTTTGACAGCCCTACTATCCACTTTCATTGAAAAGTTTCATTAATTTTTGTTTCATGCAAGTGAGAAAATAGTGTTTGGAATGACATGTGGGTGAGTAAATGTTGACAGAAATCATTTTTGGGTGAATTATTTCATGATTAGGACCACTAACCGTGTACATCTTGTCAGGAGTTGCCTTAAAATACAAAATATAACTGGTATCAGTGTTGCCAACCACTATTTTATTCTTATCCTGTTTATTTATTTAACTTACTATATTTTTCAGCTGTTTCTTATGCTGATACGGCACATTGCAGAGGCCTGATTTTGGAGCTTCAAGTTATTTTAGTATATTTAACAGCATGGCATCCTATTTATTTATTTAAACTGCTTTGATATATCATTATTATTAAAAAATATTTAAAAAATAATAATATATGTCTGGGACCAATTTGTTTTGTAGATATAAAGACCAATAAATCTGAAAAAAGTCAATGGAAACGTACTTGTCAGTTCAGACTATGAGCTCAGGATTGAAATGTAGCTTCCTCAACTCATTTCCGCCGTACAATTGAACTCTGAACAGTGTTTTCAGGTTCATGACAGAAGTATGTGGTGCTTTGACTGTAACGACTGTATTTCTGTCCTGCTGATGTTCTGTGAATTACAAGGGCCATGTAGCATTAAGAGCCTTTTTAAAAAAATTTTTTTTAATCATCTCCTTATTTGAAGCAGAAGCAGGTGTTTTTTTTAAGTCTTAATATATTTTACTTTTTAAACAAAGCACTTTTAAAATGTAAGCTGTTTTTGTCTTTGTTACCTGTGGATTTTCACCTGTAGTGAAAATGTCGTTTGTTTGTACTAATCCCATGAATGTATATTTGCATGTTCGTCATCTGGTTTTACTCACAATTTTTTTTTTTTTTCATTTTTTCCCAATACTTAAGTTGTTAGTATGATACTTTTCTTGTTTTTAAATACATTAGATACCCCTGCAAAAATGCCTTTGTATTTTTTCCCCCACAAAACACCCAAGTTTAGTTAGTAAAATAGACGACACAAAATGCTAACAACAGGCATCTTAAATGCTTAAAGTCACAATGAAAAGACATTCACCATCCGTTTGTGTAATATGAATTGGAACAGATTTGGAGAAATGTAGCATTGCATCAGTGTCTCAGCAATGGATGCTCTGCAGTGAATGGGTGCTGTCAGAATGAGAGTCCAAACAGCTGATAAAAACATCACAATAATCCACAAGTAATCCACACCACTCCAGTCCATCAGTTAATGTCTTGTGAAGCCAAAAGTTGTGTGTTTGTATATTTGTTTTGGACTGTTTTGGCTTGTAAACAGTGCTTGATCTGTGCAAATTTCCCTCCTGATTCAGACCAGAAGACTTTTTCTATGGAGGAAGTGTTATTATGGATAGAGGACTTGTATTTTAGCCAGAAGCAACCGTTTTAAACGTCTTAATGATGGATTTGTTTCTTACAAACACGGCTTTTGGCTTCACAAGATGGACTGGAGTGGTGTGGATTGCTTGTGGATTATTGTGATGTTTTTATCAGCTGTTTGGACTCTCATTCTGACGGCACCCATTCACTGCAGAGCATCCATTGGTGAGCAAGTGATGCAATGCTACATTTCTCCAAATCTGATGAAGAAACAAACTCATGGATGGCCTGAGGGGGAGTACATTTTCAGCAAAACCTTTAACAATCTATCTCAAACCCTTGAGTTTGATCAGATGAGCGTCACATCATCTCTCAACAATGCACACATCCATCAGAATAATATTCCAGGCTTATGAGCGGCACATGCATCAGCTGGAGGCGGATCACATGCGGCACCTGCACTGTTCAGTGGACGGGTACAATCTTGTCTCCTAATTGAATCTTTGGTTATGCCACGTTGCCGATGCTCAGGTGGAATCGTTTCGCCCTTCGCTATGGAAACGGACCGGTTGATGTGTTTGCAGTACACACATCATGTAGAACTGCTTCTTATTTTACGTTTATTTACTTAAGGAAATGTAAAGTAGGTTCTTAGATGTCTTCATATACGTTCACGTGATTAACAAAAGTTGACGTGATTGTTATTGGCATTTCATGTCTAAACCATGATCTAGGCTATAAGTAACCTAGCCAATATTATCTATAGATCAGTGGTAACTCACTTTTGATTGGGTGACATCTGATATGTCCTCTTTTTGGCCGGGATTTCTAAATGTTAAACATTTTTCAGGTTTTGGCTTTGTTTTCCTATTGTACTCATACTTGCTGAAGGTAATGACTGAAAAGTAGTTTGACCAGGCGTTGTACGTAATCGACCAATTGTGGCGTGCGAGAAGGTGGGATCTACAGAGAACGGTCGAACAATGCAAATACACGTACTTATAATGTGTGAGACTGTAAAGAGAATGTCAGAGGACAAATAAGGCGAAAACTGGTCATTTTAGGCAATTTAGAACCAGGAAAAAGGGGACATATGGTCACCCTACTTTTGATGGTTTAAAATGCAGTTAAAATGCTGTTTCCTACTATCTCAGTTTACTTTGCAGATGGTAAAGGCATCCATTGGTTGACCTAAAAACTGAACCTGAAAACTAACTAAACGCTGGAACTGTCATACCAAACAGGGTTGCCAGGTTTTCACAACAAAACCTGCCCAATTGCTACTCAAAACTATCCCAAACCCCTTTTTTTTGGGGGGGGGGGTTCAAATGCAAATTTTTTAAATTTGAGTGATTTTATGTGCTTTTATCATTATTATTATTATTATTATTATTTAAAGAGTAGGTCATATGGGTTTTCAAAAAATATTTTTTTTGCAGTTTGTAACGTAGCTATCCTTCAATGTAAACAGTCTGCAAAGTTGTTAATCAAAAAAGTGCATGATAAATAAAGATATTGTCTCTCAAAAGAGTCGACTCTGAACCGCCTTAACGAGTCGTCATATTTTCATATTTTCGAATGTTCTGCCTGTTACCTATATACGTCACAAGGTAACACATTTACATAATCCCCGCCTGCCCCCGAAATACGAACACTCTGACCTGCCCACAAACCAGTGTTGCCAAGTCCGTGGTTTTCCCGCGGAATTGGGCTACTTTAACATGGTTGCCGTGGATTGTTTTTCATGTCCGCAGGTTGAAGTGACTCCAATAACATGATATTTATCCCCTGGAATGCAAATTTTAGCAGGGAAACCCCGCCAAAAAACTTATATTTCCCCCCCTGGAACGCGATTTGGGCTAGATTTTTGGGGGGGGGGTTCCAATGCACATTTTTGGCGGTGTTCCCTTGGTAAAATTCGCATTCCAGGGGCTAAATATCACATTATTGTGGTTGCTTCAACCCACGCAGTGTTAAAGTAGCCCAATTCGGCAGGTAAACGGCGGACCTGGCAACCCTGATACCAAAGTTAATGAAAAGGGTGGAGTTGTTCTTATTGGCTCAACCAATGGCGTGAGTTGTGGGCGGGGCTACATGTATGTCTGACCATCCTACTCAGCATTGTTATTTTATCATTATTTGTATACTGTCTTTTATTAATTTTTTTAATTTACTTTTTTTTTTTTAAGTGTTGCCAAGTCCGTGGTTTTCCCGCGGAATTGGGCTACTTTAACATGGTTGCCGTGGATTGTTTTTCATGTCCGCAGGTTGAAGTGACTCCAATAACATGATATTTATCCCCTGGAATGCAAATTTTAGCAGGGAAACCCCGCCAAAAAACTTATATTTCCCCCCCTGGAACGCGATTTGGGCTAGTTTTGAGTAGCGATTGGGCGGGGTTTCTTGTGAAAACCTGGCAACCCTGCCACAAACACTTCCGCTAGTTAGTGTGTTTACATCAGGTCGAGAAGAAGCTGTGTTTTCAGCCTCACTGGGCATTCTAACACAGTTCCGACACGTGCACCTCAAATAAGTAAATAATAATAATAATGAATGCAATACAACTGCTGTCACATCACGTAAAATGCCACATACAAAGTTTAAACTTCAGCATTGTTATTTTATCATTATTTGTATACTGTCTTTTATTATTTTTTTAAATTTACTTTTTTTTTTTTGCATTTCAATTTTA